TCCGATCTAAAGTGTTTTAATATATATGTATATATATATAGTATAAAAGAATTGAAAATTCTTCTAAGTTTTAAAATTATACAGAAATTTTAAAATTTATAATCTGTTTTGAAAAATTATATAAAGAATTCTAAAATAAATTTTTATCAATAATTATAAATTATATGGATAGAAAAAATAAAAAGAAAAAATATAAAAAAATAATAATGTTGACATTATATATATGTATTGTATGTATGTATGTGTATATATATATATATATATATATATATATATATATATCAAAAAAATATTACATCATGTAATATTAATTCAGAATATAATAATTTGTAACTGATATATGATGATCATTCCTTATAATTTGCAACACAGTGTTATAAAGAGTTCAGTGAATTTAGAGTCAATTTTAACATAGAAAATTTTATTGTAATCTAAGAAATCTTATTTCCCACGTTTTTTAATTTTAGCACGGAAAGCACGCCTATCAGCACTATTATAACATTCTATCTTTATCGTTTATTAGACGTAAAACAAGGACAGAATGACGTAATAGCGCTGATAGTGCACTTATTAGTGCAGTACTGCAGTAACCTAAGATTTTTACTAACCTCATGTACGATATAATGTTGATTAATTATTTGTAGTCGACGACGAAGAGTTCTGTCAGGAATAGGAATACTTAAATCTTTAAGGTATTGTTTGTATGGACCTCGACGCGACATTTCTTTTCACAAATATTATAGCAATTGTGAAAAATCCAAACTTTGCTAACCTAGGAGACACAAGTTAGACACCAAGATTAAACAAATAAATCAGTTAAGTTGTCGCCAACCGCATAATAATTATAATAGGCTTCTCACGTAAGCTTTGGAGTGCGCTGGGTGACGTTAATTATTATAGTATAGTATGTAGAGTTTTTGTAAAGTTATTTATAAATTACACGCTACGTTTCTTGCTTCAGTATTTTTTAAATGCAATATTGATGTCTTGTGCAAAATAATAATTATAGTTTATGCATTGATTTTGATAGTATAGGTGCAGAAACGGAAAGATAGTCACGGTATCCACGCACTCGACATTCCGATCCCATTGTTTTATACCTAACCAAGTTATCTTGCTTTATTGCATTTGGTTCTGTTTCGTCGCTCTTACCTCTTTACCTGTACACATCTAATATACCATTAAAATTTGAAGAGTGAAGTGTGATCATGTCGAACAGTAAATGCACTGTGGACAGTAAATTATCGGATGATAAGTGCCTCGTCGTGGAGTTTATCAATGAGAGACAGAAACCTGTTCAAGTGGGTTTTCAAGCCTGGTTAAAGGAAGAAGATAAATCAGACTTACATCACCTTCTAAATTCTGAAGTGATCATTCGATGGCCCATAAAAGAAGACATCAAATGTGCCCGAATGATGGAAAAAATTCTAAAGAAGAAAGATATCATTTGGGAAGATCTAATTGTAAGGGTGAGATCTGTGGGAAGTAAGTAATTCTTTTAACACAGTTTAACATACTTATAAATATATTATTTAGTACTAAAGTATAAAATGATTATCAAAATGTGTAGCATTTACTGATATGTGTCAACACGTCAAAAATATTGAATTCTTCGGTGTGCCTAATCCTTCTCGAGAGGAAAGACGAACGCTTTGCAAGAGATCATTAAGCTCTGATGAAGAGAATGTGTCTGAACTGAATTCATCAGCAGAGAAAGACAATATCAAATCTGCAAAAGTACGTTTAGTAATAATTTTATCTTGTATTTTGAGTTAAGTATGTTTAAAACATAATTGTAACTTGTAACAGTAATAGAGCTTTCTCTTATATTTTCCTCTTAAATATAGGATTTGTCAGTCTTACAAGTATTACATAAATTTAATCCACTGTTTAATTTGTTTAAATAATAGATTGATAAATCATCAAAAAAACAAAAGAAGATTAAAACATCAACTGAAGCAAAGCATCAAAAAAGTAATTATTTGCTTCAATCGCAAATTGAAAATTTGTCAACAGATTTTATAAAAAAAACTTCTCGGGTAAGTTTAATATTGTCTTATGTATGCTTTGAAGAAAACTTAATTTTTTCTCATTTAAAGAGTTTTTAAGATTTAAATTAAGTGTGCGTTTATATGGATCTTTTGTTTTTTTTTTAAATTAAAAAATCCAATGTTTTTAATTTTTTAGTATTTATTTTGCTTCCAGATTGATTTAATAAATGATAGTGAGGAGGAAGAGGATGACGAAGACAATCCTAATATATTTAAGTGGAGTAAAGCCAAACTAGTGGACCTAATTAACACTTTGAAACTAGAAAACAAAAAGCTAAGAGAAGATAATGCAAGATTACGAACACTAAGAGCTATTAATGAAGGTAAATCTTATGAGAAACAGAGTTGGATAGTAACTACTCAAAAGTTACATATAAAGCAAAAAAGTAGTAACTTTTACTTTAATTCAGTTGCATTTAAATAAATTAATTTTTACTTCTATTCAAGTAATTTTTCTCATTACTTTTAAAACATAAATTTTTTTAAGTTAAAATTTTTTTCATCTCTTTTTCGTCAATATTTTTTTTTAAATAAAATCTTTAACATTAAAGAATTAATTTAGAAAAAACTTAATGGCCGGTATTCATATAGTCACTTAGTCACTACATTTAATTTAAAAGAAACATTAACTTTAATTACTCAACTCTGAATATAAATATCTGCTATAGTTGTGCATTTTATATCTAATTTTTCAATCTTTTGATCTGATTAGATCTAAATAAAATGACCGCAATGTCATCTACTTTACGTAAGGATATAGATGGAGTTCACAGAGACATAGACTCTCTGCTTAATAAAGTTGGTCGAAGCAATAATAAAAACGATAATAGTGACAAGCATAATAATGATAAATCAAGTCACTCTAATCAAAATTTTCAGGACAACAATTTTAGGAACAATACTAGCAGTACTTTGAATACTATTGAAAGATATAGTGAGGTATATATATTTTATATATTTTCAAAATAATGATAAAAATTATAGAGTATTCTAAATTACATTTTACAATAACGAAAGATTTTGTGACAATTTAGTACTTTTATCAAAAGTTTCTTCAATAAGAAGTAGTATTTTTTATCTGTGCTGTATAAAAAAAGATACGAAAATGTATTACAAAATAACAAAAATAAAAATATTTTAAGTGTACTTTAATTAAATATTCAAGATAGTTTATGTAAAGTTTCATTGC